CGAGTTGTGGATTCTTGTTCAGTTTTCATCTTCCTCACCCTCTCAGACTTTGAGTTGCGCGCGCTGCTAAAGAGACGCGCTACCATGGAAACCAAATAATGGTGTAGCTGTATTAAAGTCCGAGTGGAAACAGTCGTCAGTAAATCTGATTTTGTCAGAAATCGGGAGAAATGCGGGAGTCTCCCGTGAAAATCGGGAGGGTTGGCAAGTATCACACACACACACACACACACACACACACACACACACACACACACACACACACACACACACACACACACACACACACACACACACACACACACACACACACAGTTCGTATTTAGTCTCCTGATTTTAAATGCCCTAGTATGGTTTTGTTACCATTTCCATAGCCCCACCAAAAATATTTTCCACCAGCCGCCACTGGTCAAAACTCAACTTTGGATTTGAATAACCCAAAAATAGAAAGTTTAGATTTAGGTCGGATTACAATACAGTAAATGTTCTCTTAATATGCATTCCATGATTGTTTTGCATCACCATTGATTGCTTCCAGGTGTATACACTTCAAGATCCAATCTAATATATTACCACATATTGGATGATTTGGAATTAAAACAACATACATATAGACATGTCTACATTCTGTAAATGTTACAGCATAGTTACAGCCTTCTACAGTTGGTTATTCATGTCAGTAATTCCATTGCATTTGTATTTGTACCACCTCTGAGACGTGATTATCAGGAAGTATCTAGTTGTTGTTTACCACAGAGAAGCTGAGCTCTCAGTGGCAGTGTGACTCTGAAGCAGAGGATTGGAAACTAGAGAACCAGAGAGCGGAAGTAGCTCTCTCGTCTCACTCAGCTCGCATTGTGTTTTGGTATGCCTGCCTCGATAAATAGAACTTCTGTCATCATTTCAACTTAGAAACTTGCCTTCAAGATTTTCACAATCAACACTAATGAAATGGTAAATGTTGCTTGTCATTACCAAAGTAAAACTACTGTGTCTTACTCCATTTCCACCTTCTTAGCAGCCATTGATAGTTTCACTACAGTATGTTCATTTACTACATTCAGTACAATGTATTGAATGTATAAGACATTCATGGTGGTTTCCAGAGAATGAATCCTATGGACTTTGGTGATCTGCTGTATTCATATAGGATGACATTTCTGGTTTTGAGAGAAATGTCCGATAGATTGCCAAGTTTGACTAAGAATTTTACTTCTTCAAGTATTGTAAAAATATTGATGATGTCTTTACTTTTCTTCAAGATTTAAATGTCCCCAATACCTTGATTTATGAGCAAAAACCTGCAAAACTCAATTATGAGCCAAGCTGTACCACATTCCCCTGGCTGTAGACTTTTCTTCATGATTTTAAATAATGCAGAAAAGGTAGGTTGACGCAGAACTGAAACGTTACTGTTTCAATACCTTATTTTGAGAATCTATGTTTTTCTATGTAACCCTTCTAAAGTCATTTTACAAAACACACTTAACTTCCCTAAGATTAAATGTAAAAACATGAATGCTTAGTCTACACAAAATACAGATTGATTTAATACGATTACATTTGGACACGTTTTTTGATGCCAACCTTTTGTAGGCCCAATCCATCAGTAATCTAAGTTTAGTAGCAGTGGTAGCAGCACTAGCCATAACAGTAGCAACAATAGTAGCAGCTTGAGCTTTCAAAGAGCATATTGGTCAAACTGAGGTGCAGGTGATGGATGTGTCTGTGGCTTGTGTGACTATGAATAGCACACTGTATATAAGGGAAGTTGAGGTCAGGTTGATTTACGATCTGGTACTGGGCAGAGTGTGAAGCCAGACAATCACACCAGAAACCTTACGCCACATGAAGTCATTCAGCAGTGCATAGGAGCCCCACTGTCTGTCACACACACACACTGGCATGTTCTCAGTGCCATCCTCTGACGCTGCCCCCGTCCCACACGTGTGGACGGGTTACAGGACGGGGGCTGCCATCAGCAGGCCCACTGAGGGGCTTTTGTCCTCATTCATATTATGGAGATTACAGCACTGAATACTGGGGATCATAGCAGACAATGAGGCCACTCTTCAGCAAGCGCAACCAACATACAGTATATTTAGACATGCATACAGTTACAAGCACTGCCATGACGTGATGGTCAGGAACAAACTCTATTACTGTGCAGTTTTAAGACAGACAGTATATGGGTTATATGTCAAATGTCAATTATAAAGAGCTGCATGAACGTTATGAATGTTGTGGTGTCTACACCAATCATTTAATTTTTCTCTAATGTGGATGTTCACATAAAATAATTTATATAAAATCAATACAATAAAATTAATTGAGTGACCAGGTTTTTCTTACCTCAGAATCTGTGTCACATGTATGTAAACAATTAGAATGTTGGTGTTTTAATTATTTATCTATCACCATACACGCTGTTTTATGTTTGCTTGTGTGCTGTTTTAGTAGATAAAGTATTCATGAAACAGCACCTGATCGAAATGCAGCTCTTTGTGGAAGCTTTTTCAAAACCATACATTGTTTATATCTAATGTTATTTAGAGTTTCTAAGTTGTGTTGCAAATTCCAGAAATATTGAATGTACTAGCTGGGAAGAACTTCATTATTATAATGTATTCAGATATGTGTGTTAAATGAACTACCGTAATTTTCGGACTATAAGCCGCACCTGAATATAAGCCGCAGCAGCGGCATACCACTCTCGGTTCCACTTTTACTTTTGCGCGCTACCTGTCTCACTCTTTTCCGGCCTCCAGCTTTCCTGCTGGAACCCGCCGCTTAAAGGTGGGGGTCCGCGGACCGGCCATAGAGCTTCATAGAGTTAAAGGTGTGTGCCGTTAGCTGGTAAAAAACCATAAGGATTAGCCGCCACCCGGTATTAGCAGGCGCACAGCGTCCGAAAAAATAGAGGGAAAAAGGCGCCGGCTTTTATAGTCCCGAAAATTACGGTAGACTTGAATTAGCTTTCGGTTTTTCAAATAGTTGAAATGTAGATGTTCTGCACCTGGGTGGAAATCTGGTTTTACAAATTTGTAACAAGGGGAACACAGTGGACAACACAAATCACTATAAAAAGACCGAAATCCAGAATCAAAAACAACAAAGATTAAAGATGAGAAAATACACATAAATATAAATATTTGAGTTCATCATATATCTATGCAATGATTATTTTAGAACTGAATTAGATTGTAACAGTTTAATTATGGTTTGAAACAAACGGGCACTTTTTTGTGAATAAATGACCTCCAACCTGTGTCGGGCGAGGGCTTTAAGATGAACCAGAACAAAAATTGATTAAACAAATAGACAGAAGCCGTACAGAATAAATCCGACCACATGGCCTAAGTGCCATTATTCTCTTGTAGACCCAGAGGCCGCGGGCAAAGGTATTTTGAGTGGGTGCTGAGCGGTGCTGGAAACTTCCAGGTGAACACTATTAACCGGCACTATAGAGCACCACAAAAATCTCCCACACGCAAACACACAGTAAACCGCGACTGTGTACCAAAAAACGATGAAGGCTCGATAATCAGCTCACGGCATATAGCAGGGTAAAGTGCTATTTTTACGAGTGGGGAGCGGACCGTCACCTCCTCTAGGGGGTCCGGGGGATGCTCCCCCGGGAAGAATTTTTTTAAATATTGAAGTTAAAAGATCAATCTGTGCACCTTTTGAGAGCAACCTTAAGAGATCTATGGATACATCTCTTCAACACCAGATGAAAGCCACAACTGTAAGCAGATGTTCTTTTGTCCTTTTATGGGATATTTTACAAATCACTCCGCTTTTCAAACTGTATTCTTGCTTCTTTACCTGCCATAAATAGTTATGTTTCATAACTGTAATTTCCCTTTATTCTCTTATTTTTTTTTGTACTACACTATAATGAATCAATATGAAAGGTGTGCCGGCGGAAATAATCTTTTGAATAATGTTGACCAAACCCCCGTGTTGGACCCACTGAGATACACTGTAGGACTAAAGTTAACGTATCTAAACACTCAGAGAAGTGTCCTTTGCTCACCTGAGGCCTCTCACGGTCTGAGAGGAGAGCTCTCCTCCAGCTTCTGGTTGAGGTAACAAACAAGCTCCGTAATGTCCGTTAGGTGCAGGCTAGCTAACCAGATGCTAACAACACGGTCCCTGCTGCTTGGCGACGGGTCTCTCTCTCGCCCCTCTCTCACACACACTAAACCTGCGCTATTTCCGCACACACACAGCAGCGCCGCGTAAGAATGACACAAGCACAATTTTATTTCCATGCAAACTCTCCTTGATTGGTCTGGTGTCTGCCCTCTGTTGCATTCACGTGAACAGCGGGAAATTACAGTCCTGCGTCCTTTCCTAGTGTCTTGATGAGGCGTTTCACCGTAAAGCACGGCTTAATGTATTTACTATGAGGTAGAAATCTGTCCGGGGCTAAACATAAAAAAACATTCCCGGGAGGCCCAAATATTATTTTACCAACAATGTGGTTTTATGGCCTACATATTAACAGATTATGCACAGGCGGGAGCAGCAATAACCGTCAAATAAAATTGCAGACAGGGGAGCTCGGCACCCCCTGCCTGCCGCTAGGGTGCTGCAGCGCCCTCAGCACCCCCTTACACCCGCGCCATGCTTGTAGATAACTTATTGGGCAAATTTGTTGTAAGGATTTCCTTTGTGCTTGTATTTAGCACATTATGTTGACACTGCGTATCCTTTGACGACCTTGTCTGAATCACCAATAGTGAATATTCTGGATTCTATTTGTTATCTTGTCAGGTAAATCAGAAGTGTTATTGGTTTAGTAATTTTAGTCAAGGTTGGAATAGTGTGGGAAAAGGTACTGTAGGGAAAACGTCAGCCGTAGACCCACAGTGTGTGGCTTCCACCAAAANCACAGATGGAAGGCTGACAGGCAGGTAGGCCATCCAGTTACTTTAGCCGGGCCGGCTCAGATGATTGGTCGTGCTTTTTACAGCACCACGGCTTCCACACTGTGGAAGCCGTGGTGCTGTAAAAAGCACGACCAATCATCTGAGCCGGCCCGGCTAAAGTAACTGGATGGCCTACCTGCCTGTCAGCCTTCCATCTGTGCACAAACTTATCTCGTGCCCTCATTGGTCATGTGCGCGTTCGTGTGTGTTGGAGGAGGGGCTCTGTAAGGAAGTGGCAGATTTTTTCCGGTTGTGTATTTTCAAATTCTCGCGTACTCGAGCTGGTTTCTCCAAAATTACCCACCTTTAATGTCCAACATTAAGCACTTGTTGCAAAATACTACAATTATGTTTCACCTATTGTTATAGCAACATGCGAGTAAACGCTGGGTGCTCATTCACCTCGTCTTAACCTTTCAAATGTTAGCATTGAAAACTGATAATGGCCATTCAATGAGTTGATAACATTATTGTGAGTAGGAATCCCCAAATCCCTGAGCTGATCAGTCAAAAATAACAAAATCCACCAAGGATGTGTAAGTGTATATGTTTATGTGTAGGCCTATGTGTTCCACAAAGTTTTTTCCTTCGTGAGTTAAGCCTCAGTTTTGACGTGGTGTCTTGATGAGAGCACAGCTTGGACCATCTCCATGTATTTATCTTAAATCAGGTATTTTGCCCTAGGGAAAAAACTCTTCTTAATTTTATTGTGGAATGTGGTTGGCCGTTGTGCTTTACGTGCTACAGTTTGCCACACCACTAAGTGTATATGTTCTCTAATTATTCTACTTGTTTGCTCTTCCCACAATTCACTTTGTCTTTACAATATTGCATTATTGTTCTTCTCTTTGTACCCTCCTGTTTCACATTTTCTCCTCCTATTACTTAAGCTTTATACCAATTGAAAACACTTACCACCGTCCACTTTTTTCCGCAGAATTTTGTACATGAAGCTTTGAATTGATCGAGATCGGATGTTCCTTCCAACCCAATCGCCTTAGTAGTATAGTAGAATCCTGCATATGCCTGGCAGAAACAGTAAAGACAAATCAAAAGTTGCTTTCATTTTTATCTCTCTTCTTGCACATGTTTTATTTGCTCTCTGTGTTACCATAAATTCTCCAGTGACTGGTGGCTGCTCGACCCCATTGAAGGAACACTGGGTTGAAGAACATGTCTGGAAATCAAAAATCCCCTTCACCATGCTTAGGCACTTGTCCGAGTTGCCAGTACCCACAAAGAAGAGTTGTTGATCTGGATTATAGTTGTTTGGCTTCTTATTGCACGTTGTGTTATAAATGTGTGATGCGTTCAAGGTGACGTTGTAACCCTCAGGGTAGCATGGGTTAGGAATGTAGTTTGGGTCAGATGACTCCTGGGATATGAGGAGAAGAAGGTACATGTCAAAAGAAAGAATGTAGGATGAAGAAGAAATAAAACTATGAGATAGAGGGGACATGGGGGTTGAGATAAGAGGGTTTGACAACATTCTTACTAACAGACATAATCTAAATATACAAAAACAGGAATTATTTACTTATTAATTACACATTAACACATGCAGATACTGATGTACATACATGCTTTTATGTTAGCATTTACAGGACACTCCTGCAAATGTTTACCCATAACACATTCTCATTTTTAGGTTTATGTATCCTGCGCCAATTACTATATATGAGGAATCTATAGGCTACCAGAAATAATAATGCATTTCTAGCAGACTTGTTTGAGTACATTCACACTTCGATCAATATTCTTAATTACATAATGCATTCTTGACTGGTCTCCCCTTGCCTGTTAGCAACTCAGGGACATAAGTGTTCACTAATCAATTCTTAAATGGGCATTAATGGAATTTGACCTATACATGCATGCAAAAGAAAAACAACCTACATTTCCACTGCCACATGCACCAGGAACACAAACAAGCATTTAAACATGAACTTAGAAAAACATCCTAAGGAAGGGAACTCAGAAAAGAACAAAGGATAAGCTGTGTACCCGCACTACTTTGTCCAGAATCACCCTCCCAGCCTCATTTTTGCCATAGCAGAGGAAACTGTGTGTGTAGACATTGTAAGGGTAACCGTACAGTTTGACAGGTAAGTAGTCCGGCCCGCTGAGATTACCCTGCACAGCAAATGCAATCTGTGTTGAAGCTCCACCAAGGTCCATGGACCCTACAGTCTTTTCCCCTTGAGGGCGCACATATTTGTTCCATGTGTTTTTCTGTAAATATAAGGTGATTAATTAGTACAGCATATGAAAAACCATGTGATCACCCTTTTGGTAAATTGGCATTCTTTTGTTCAAGTTTAACGAAAGAATCCACCCACGATATGACTATTTACTCACCCTGTCTTACCTGGAATTATTTTACGAAAACTGTTCATGCCTCTACAGTGAACGAAGAGTAAAGAAAGTAAATGAATTGAAATACATTGGAGCTGCATTCAACATATCCATATGAAAAACATCCGTTCACACTTGTAAGCAACTTGCAGTGTATAATCCAAGTCTCAATCATCCTCAGTCCAAATACATGCATTTTCACTAAAACATTACTATTTTATACACTTCTGCATAAACAAAACTGGCAATGAGGAGGAGTGCATTTTATATACGCCGACTATTTAAAGAGGCATGGATTACACTTCATCAGTTGTGTGGGAGTTTGTAACAGGTATTTTTATATACATACTTTGAACTTTTTATATACGTACTTTGAATTTTGTTTAATTGGGCAGCCATTTACTTCTAATCAATTAGACTTTGGTTTTTTATTCTTAATTCACTGTAGAGTTAGTAAAGAGTAGTAGTAGTAAAAAACAAGAACTCAATGCAGGGTGAAAAATGACATACACATGGTCATTTTGTGGGTGTAATATCCCTTGAAAATGATAAGTACACTTGGACCAGATAGATCAATGACAGTAGCCTTACCTCTAGTAAGTTCCCCATCAGGTAGTTGACAGTAATCCATCCATACAGCCCTTCTTCTTGTCCAGAAATAATGGAAGCGTTTTGGAAGGCGAAAGGCAGAGACGACAGGTATTCCCTAAGATCTTCCATGATTTCACTTGACCTCTGTTCATCCAATCCCCTTAAAGCAAAGCAGAACATGTGACATGAGAACATATCTTACTGGAAACAGCAGTGGTCAATTGTGAAATGAGTATCACTCATCTTTATTTTTATATTTTGGAAAATGTAATCAAATTTATAAACAGATTGTTACTCTGGTGTACTGTATGTATGCTACATGTGAAGCAAGCGCTGGCCAGGAGAAGGTTAGCTTGGCTTAATATGGAGACTGAAAGGAAGAGGAAATAGCCATTGACCTGTGCCTCAGAGGGCTTTGGGAAGAGTCATGTGGTGCATGAATGGGTTTAAATTGCTCTGATCCTTCTGGCATAGTAAGTAATGTCAAGAGAATATCCTGTGTTTAACTTATTTCAACACGTTCTTACTGTAGCAGTCTCATTCCAGCAGTTGCTCCTAGAAAAAGAGTTGTGGTTTTGCGTTTTTCAGCAGGAATAGCTTTGGTGATGTTCTCAATGCACACTTTAAATGCCGCCATTGACTTGGCACCTTTTTCCTTGTCAACTTTCATCTCGGAGATACCATCACCTGTAGGAACAGGGCCAAGCTAAAATCATATTCTCAAGCACAGTTACAAAGATATCAACTGACTACCATATAAGTCTGTAAAAAAACTGTTATTACTATAGGATAGCAGAATGAAAAATTATTGTTGGAAAGTAGTAATGGGCTTAGGAAAAGTTTGAGCCAACGGGATAACAGTATGCATTGATAAAGATCTCTGAGCAGGGTAAGGTAAACAGGGTGATAATTATTTCAAATGAAAAAGAAAAGTTATGTAATGTTAATATGACCCATTTAGTGAGAACGAAGAGTTGAATTGTATACAAATAATGAGTTTTAGGTTATTTTTGATATATAGTTAACTTATTCATATCAGATTCAGATTCAGTTTTAATACAGATGTAATAAAAGTAAAACCTTCTGGTCGTGTTTAAGATTCATTATTCAAACAGAGTATTTTAAAATGCTCTCTATGACTTTTGTCAATTTTCTCTTTTCTAACTTAATTCTTGAAAATGTAAAACTATTAAGTACAAAATATAATTTTTTTTTATAGACCATGACTCACCTACAACTCTACAGTTTTTTTGCTCAGTCACCACTCCTGTTTCATTTTCTTTCTCCCCCGGCCACTTGTACAGGTAAATAGTTGAACGTGATGAACCTGAGTCTATCACGATGCCATACTGAAAAGAAAAACTAATTGTTACTGGTCCACATGTTTCATTTCCTTTTTACCCGATTTACCCTCTGCCTTGATTAGTTAAATAAACCTAATGAAGAGGTTTGTATGTGTATATGTATATATACATACATATATGTATGTATACATACAGTATATATATAAAGAGAGCTGAGACTATAAACATTACATTAAACTTTAAAGAGGCTGTTGTTACCCTGTCCACCCCTGAAAAAACACATTGTCAGTGTCACTTACTGATGACCCCTTTCAATGGAAATTAACCTAACATCTGGAAAATTTCTGGCATCACATTCAAATATGAGAGTGTTGGTGATCTGAAGGGTTTGTAAACCAGTTCTTGTCCCTCTCTCTGCATTGAGAGCTGTTTTGTTCTTTGTTGATTTGAGGAAGATCTGCAGCCAAATAGTGCAAAGATTGATGGGACCATCCATTGTGTGTGTTCATGTTTACCTCAGAGCTGTAGTCTTTGAACCTCCAGGTGTCCTGGATGACAGCAACAGCAACTAGGGCGGCAACGCTGGCCAAGAGGAGAAGCAGCACTCCTGCTATGCAACATTTGTAGCCAATTGGCTGTTTGGAAGCCATTTCCTGTGAACAAGGAATGTGGGTTTTAAAAAAAAGGGGGGGAAAAAAGTGATGTTCTCACTAAAAGCATTTGAGCACTCAAAGTGATTACATGAGGAGAGGTTTGAGCAATGACGAGCAATAATAGAATAAAAAACATTAGCAGTATTGATGGAATAAGTATGACCACCAGGTTTATCGAAAACATACACAAATATAACTGGAAACAGAATCATGAGGAAAATTGTGGATAATGATTGGCTGTCTGAAGATTTTCTTTTTTTGTCTTGTTCAGTTTAAATGTATACCTTTATTCCAGGCAATGATAATCTTATGAGATACTTTAATCCCATAAAATTATCTTTGAGCTATACAAAGCAATGGAATGAAAAGGAAAGTTTTTGTATGATCTGTAGAGGAGAATATAGGCCTCTTTCAGCTTCAGATTCTTTGAAGAGAGTGAACTGTGGATTTGGGGTTTGATATAAAAGATATTATAGAGGGTGTCAGTGCTTTCCAAAGTTAAGGGAAGTGTTTTTCAAGGGCAAGAAGTGAGCAAAGACTCAAAGACCAATGCTTTAATTCAACAGCCAACTAGAAAATGTTCTGCTCATGAAAGCCGTACATGTTATTTAGCCTTGACGTTTTGGTTGTGATGTTTGTATAAACTCCAACACAATATGATTACCACATTTCAATATTGCACGAACCCCACTGGACAGGAAAATCTGCAGATCATTAGGTTTGTTTTGTTTTAAACTCTAATTTATGGCTATTATGAAACAAAAAGACCTTCAGTACAAACACTCAGAACAAAGGAACTTGATGTCAAACATCCGGCAATGAAAAAATCCTATCCTCAGATAAACTCTTTTTCACTCAGATTTGGATCTTGTTTATAAACATTGCATGCTCTGTTTGAGCTTCAAGTTTTTACTGAATTACAGAAAACAGATCCACCATATGTGCTTTGGAGGAGGAAAGCACTTAAAACCACCATAGTGCTTTGGAGGAGGAAAGTCAAACAAGGCCAGAATCACACAAGCATTTCTCCAGTATTTCAGTGAAATGCATTATTGATGCATTAAACAGTTCACACACATACTTTGAACAGCAGCTGCTTGTATCTGAATGTGTGCAAACTCAAAAAAAAATATTTGTAAATTATCTGGTTTATTCCCTTTTCCTTTCATGCTGTCAATTCTATACTTTTTACATTTTGCTAGTATCATTGGAATCAAGGTTCAAGGCTTTTATTAGTCATACGTACATAGCTACAGTGTAGTTATGACGATGAAAATGTTAGGTCACAGGCTCCTCCAACAGCCCTGTCATTATCAGACTGACAAACATTTGGTAAGCTGCAACACAATTCTCTCCCCTCTTTCTTTCTCCCTCTTTATTTCTTACTTTAATCATCTTTTAAGCTGTTTAAACCCCAAATAAATATTTGACACCTCTGTTTTCAGTGTAACAAGCCAGCAGCAACAGGATATTTACAGTCAACACGGCAACTCCAGGTGAAAACGCCCAGGTAATCGCTGCCAGACAAGTTGTGATTCAAACCTGAAGAAATGTCAACAAACATGTCTCAGACCATCCTCAGACAGATGCAGATTTAGTTGGCTCAACACTTTTGTGTGTGTCTTTGTTGGTGTTTTATATATGAAATGTATATATTTTTGTGTTTTATTTTTATAGCGATTAATGGCTTTTCCCAGGCTTGTGATACACATGGACTTGAGAGGATAGAAAGATAAGAAAGGTAAGAAAAACGAAAGAAATCAGAGCTGATTTACGATTGCTTTTCTGCTCTCTAATATTTAAGCTTTTTCTCTTTTATGTTGTCTAATGTAACCCGAAGATTTAAATATGTGCTTCAGTATAATGAGTTTGGCGTTTACGGTTGCTGTGTGCCCAAGAAAAATATATCAATATGCTGTTTTTGAAATCTATTACTCTGTTATCCGGCCCTATGCACAACCACACCCCTATTACAGTTCATTTGTGCACAAGGTAAACAAATTACACAATACCGCAAACAATGTTATTTAAAGTATTTCCTTTACATAATGCATAGCAAGAATGAACACCCACATCACCCCTGCAAGAACATTTGAACATGTAGCCTCTGCTTGTGGGGACTGGTCCTCATGAGTAAAGGAGTGTGTTGAAACATGTCCACACACCCATCTACTGTAGCATAATCACAGGAGATAAACCCAGTGAAAGTAAAGCAGTCTTAACTGTGTTTGAAATATTATAGAGTGTTGTGTGCGCTAAATAAATATGTATGCATGTGAAGGAAAGTAGCTTTGTTTGTTTCTTACCTTGAAGAGCTGGTTTGTGGATCCTGGTTGGATCCTAGTGAGGTGGCTCTGAAGGAAGGATGAAGAAACACAGTAGGAAACAAGGGATCAGCAGAGGGAGGGAGAGGAAGATAGAGAGTCAGTTGTGAGCGTGGGCGATTGAAGGAGTGATTTTCCCACAGGAGCAGGAGCTGTTGGACCCCAACAAAAGTGAGATAGTGAGGGAGGAAGGAAACATGGGAGGAGCAATGTGGGGAAACTCAAGTTTTCACCAATCCCATTGCACTGAAGACTGTGCAAGCAGCCCGTAGGAGCAGGCAGGGAATGATGCAGGGCTTGTTCCTCGCTCACTGTCTTTGTGTAATGATTTAGCACAGATTAAGGTGTTGTTGTGTATGCATAACATAATGTAATAAGGGAGAGGTTGACTTGGGTTGAAGTTAATTGATGTAATCAATAAGATAAAGTGCAATGTGGTTGAGTATCTGCTGCACACGTTATCACAAAGTCAGCTCTTATTTGACGGGCCTGAATTAAAGGTAAGTGCGATGAAAAGTAGAGGATCAAGTACTGTATCAACAACCATGGATGTGTTCGTACCTGCAAGCTCCACATTTAAAGGAAAACTCAAGTTCTCACAGTGAAAGCCATGAGTCATTCATTTTGCAAATGAATGGATGATTGTGCTGTAATCCAGTGTTTTTTTTGCTTACAGTGGCCGACAGTAAATAACCAATAGTGTCATTTTCATTGTGTCTGTGCGTGTGTGAGTAGTTGTATTTGCACGCAGGGATGTGACTGTATTTTTTATATTTTATCAAAACATGCTGGATTTGACTTGTTAGTCAAAAATCACATACTGTAAGGAGGTGGAGGGTCCTCTCAATGCATCACCCTTCAAAGTCCAGATTGTTGGCCAAAACGACTTCAACCAGTTTCTAAACAATCATACATTCTATTTTACAAAACACTCTATTTAAATGTCTTTTATCCAAAATAGCGCTCACTATTTCACTCTTTTCTTTACATACACCATAGTTTCCAACCTTGTCTTTTATGCTTTGTTTTCACAGGCCAATACAGGAAGTATTAACGTTCTTAAGGCGCCACAGAAACCTGGCAATGTTACCATGACCACAATTTTCTGATAACCTCCAAGAGGCACTCCACCAATTATACATGTCAAAGTACATTTACTAGTCATTAGAGGATCATACCCAGCCTCTGAAAACCTTTTCCACTGAGGCTCTGGAAGAACTTAGTGCATCCAGGAAAATAACTCAAGTAAAAATCAACCTAAGCATGTCAGCTTGGAGTCAGCTTGGAGACTGCCCTTTAAAAATGAAGCATGACGTTTTAAAGCTACAAAAGTTTACCAGGCAGAAAGGGTCCAATTTAAAACTTTGGTAAAAAGGTACCAAAAGGCAGGATATGTCGGCCTCGGGGGCTGCTTTTGACATTTCTTTTTCAAAATCATGGGAGTAACGCTAAAGACCTGGAGGGCACTCTTAACAAGGTAATTGCTGTAATAAACTTGAATACAATAATGAAACCTAACCCAGCTTCAGTTTCATTGAATGAACATTTTATTGGAGACAAACTCTTTGTGAATGTCCCGTATGAAAAATAGAGCATATATATTTTTTAAATGTTTTTCATTAATGCAATAGTTTGAATGTTATTCTGAGTGGGTGTAGCTATTCACACACTCAAGCCCAGGCTCCAGGGATCTAAATGAAATAGCTTAGACTCAGCTCAGTCATATTGTTCACTCAGGTAGCCAAAGGCTCAGCTTTGTGTTAACTGCTCCTCTGAGTTGAGAGTAAACTAGGAATGTGAACATCTGGTGCTCCATCCTGTACTTGGCCCATGTCATATTTTGTATTTGTCATATTTGCTTTTACAATGACTTTAATTTGCTGCAGTGCTTCCTATCGACGGTGGCTGCTCTATTTTTCTGGTGAATTCCTAAACATTTTAGCACGTCAGTGGTCTACTGGTTATCTGGACTGTCTACAAAGAACACACTTATGGGGCCAGTCATAAGTGAATTACATGTCTGATTCAGTTCTCAGAGAGTGAAGATAAAGTATTTTTAGCTTCCCAAAGTGAGACCTGAAACCTGCTGGTCTGAATGAAGCGGACGGACAGGACGCTGAAAATTCGATTTGTACAGAGAGAGGAAATAGAAGAGAGGCAGAGAGCTCCTACTTAACTTGATTCACGCCTCCTGAATATAGATTGCATTACATTTCTGTAGTACTTCAAACCGGTTAGATACAGAGGTGTGTCCTTTCTTGTATTGCTGACATTTATTTGAAAACTGCTCTGTACTTGTACTAATTTGAGAATTAACAAACAGAAGTAAGAAAGAAGATGAGGGGATCAACTTTGGGAAGTTCTTTCACAAGACAGGTGAGAGCAATAGCTTTGTTGAATGCAATTGTTATATTGTGCTGGAACACAAAGTAATGTCATCCACCTCAATGATGCATGTTGAAAGATATCTATGTCTAAGAACATTTTAGCAAAACAACAAAAGAAAATCCACCAGCAAAGGGAAATAAGCGACAGCTGGTATTCCTGATGGAACTCATGTGTAACAAATATGAAATGATACACACATTAAACAAATAACAAGGATTTTCACTGTACATTATTATCAACACATAAATCAGTCTGCACAGGGGAGGTTTTTTATTCAGATGCTATGGACACTGGCACAATGCTTCAGACTCCTATTAATAAAATCTAGGCAGTAAAGCTGTAATATCCTTTAAAGCTACTTCATTATATACTTATTATAAACAGTAAAGCTAAGTCTAAGTTGCCTATTGTTATTTAATAAGTTATTTCTATTAAATGCATTGTATATTCTATATTGTCTTGTCATAAATGTTAAAGTTATCACTAGTATACTGCCAGATAATAAATAATTGGGCATTAATTTGTGTCAATCCTTTTAAAAAAAACAATGAAACATTTTCGTTACCGTAGGAAACGCGTGCTTTTCTGAGAAAAAAATCATATAATAATTCATACTTCCAAGTGTTTTTATTAAAGATTTAACTATAGTAAGATTTAGTCTTCTTAACAACCAAGTGCAGCTCCATCCGCCTCACAGCATTACCAACTGCATTAAGGCTGTTACTAGTCCGCTGCGGGATTTGAAGAGCTGCCCAGAGGAGTTCTCACTAATTGTCTGTGTCTCATTCTGAGCTTTCAACATACAGTAAGCATCCCCAGGAATCTCCACCACAGCGGGGAGGAAATGTTGTGGTGGTGTTGCGGCCAGATCAATTAGAGGGCAGATGCACTTCAGATCCGCAGAAAGACCCTGTCTGCTATTCAAATATCTCAATTTGAGCCACGGCTGATAATGGGGTTTGCATCCATCTTTATCTCTGTATACTTTCTTTCTGACTCATGCTCAACATTTGTCAAACGCCTTTTAATGTCTTAATGTGAAAAAAAGGATATGAGCACACACATTATGCATACTGAAGCATTCTGTCCTGCCATGATGAAGGAAAGTAATCCATCATGCCTCTGTGTAGGTTTGTAATGTGTGGGCTTGTGCACTTTAAACCCAAACCCCTTCTTATTGCATCAACATTTGCCCTGCTCCCTATACCTCAAACCCAGCTCAATACAGTGGCAAACTCTCTTTATGACGTGGCCTTTACATAATATAGAAAACACTCTCTCAGATCCGCCAGGGATATTACAGAGAGACATCTCCAGGAAATATGTAACAAAACCCGGTATGTCTTGCATACTAAAGCTGCATAATAACACTCATCACCCTACTATTGAATCATCAGAAAGGAAACACTTATCCTAATATAATTGGAAGTATTAGTGTTAACAGCAATCAGTGCACAGTTCAACATGAGGCATTAAATGCTTGTAATGTAACTTGATCTCGGAGGTCTCAAGCTGTGACTTCAGATTGAGTTATGTGCTGATGGCTGCTGGATTGTAATGTTTCCCCATCTGATGCCTCCCAAGTGAAAACATGTCTGTGGCAAGCATTCAACCAGTAACCTCATATGATAAATGTTTGAAAGCTGCTGTTGCTTGTGCCAAGAAAACAGTGGAGCTGAAATCGTGTGTTGGACTCCACCATCCAGGCACAATGGGACTTTTCAGCACCTGAAAAGATTGGGTCAGAATTGTTTTTTGTCCACCATGAATGATTGTGTACACAGTTTAGTGTTTAAAACAGGGGTTCTCAAACTTGCAGGGGAACATTTCTCATGCAATCCTTCATTAACAAAACACAGATTATACTTACTACTACTTGTACACAGGAAAAAACAAAAGGTTGACTTTATTTAAATGTATTATTTCAACAGATTTCACATCACTTTGTAAAATATTAGGTTCAATTTAATATTATTGCTTTCAACTAACATAATACAGTTATGTGAAATGTGTTGACATAATACATTTCATTAAATTCAGCGTTTCAGTTTTGTCAGTGTGCTCTTATGTACACTTTTTTTTATTATAAAAAGGGTTTTTCTTTCAAAATTGCATTTGGACCTATTGACTGATTCATGATATATTGATATGATTAGACAATCATGTCAGTAATACTTTGTTTAATATATTATATTTATTTGTTATGCACTTCAGCTGAATTGATCAGTTAGTGAAAGCATGGAGAGTCAAATGAAAGGCAAGGACGTTAGAGGACATTTAATACAGCAAAGAGCCAAGACTCAGAGTTGGCCCAAAGCTACATTGGGTGCCAGTAATGGACACAATATACTTTTCTTATTGCCGCAAATGGTCCCATATTGTTCCTGGTTTCAATCTAATCATCAGTGATACTCTCTGTCACACATATTGACTTTCATGCCACAAGTTTGGAACACAACACTGACGCCAAAATCATCTTTTAAGTTGACACGGTAAGTATACAGAAGCCTATTCACACGTCTAGCAGATACTGAACAACATAAGCATTCATTCGTTTTTCTGACAACCAGATGAAAGCAAGTCCATTAGTCAGTCGTGCCAAATGCTCACAAGATTGTCGCTCACTGTGTCCGTCTGCTGTTTAGTGCTGTGTCACGAGAATGGTGAAAGTAAACCAAAACAGTAAGATTACTGGTCAGAAAACCAAAACAACAAGCGTCATAAAGCTTAGAAGAACTGAGGGGAACTGCGGAGTTGATTGATT